GCCTGTGGGGCGGCCCCCCCTCCGCGGTCCACTCGAAGACCCAGGCCCTCAGAACTGGCCTTTTGTGCCCCTCCCCCCGTCCCTAAAAGGTGCGGCCCCGGGCACCCGGGGCAGGGGTAGGTCAGGCGGGACCCGCGGCCGGGTGAGTCCACCTCGCTCGTACGGCGCGGGGGTTCTGGAGCCCTGGGGCGGCCCCGGGAGGCCGGGAAAGTCAGTCCGCTTTCCTCTTTAATTACTTACACCTCCCTCTGGGCGCCGACATTTTGGGCAGCGGGGGCAGCGTCACTTCCACCCGGGGGGCCCCTCGACTTCCGCCTCGGCTCCCTTCTCCCCCGCACTCCCCCTTTCTCCCGCCTTCTCGGCCTCCCCCTCCCAGCTGCCCGCCCTTCTCCCTCTTTCCCGTCCTTTTCCCAGCACTAGCTGTTAGAGAAGCCAGGTAGGCGCCATCTTGGGTGAGGGCAGGAAGCGGGGCAGGGTTCGGGGTGACCCCGGCGCCATACAGACTAAGGGCAACAAGCTCAGCGCGCGGCTCCCCTCCGCGGGGTCGACGCTGGCGGGTGGTGGCGCAGAAGAGGGCAGGTCTGAGTCCATTTTCGCAGTCTCAGGCCCTTCCTGGGTAGCAAGTTAGAGTTGCATCAGGAGGAAGGAGAAATCTAAGTCCGCCAACTGCGATAGAGAGACAGGAGGAAAGAGCAGGTTCCATCTTGTCCTCAGCCCTCCAGGAGGCTTTGAAGCTTATCAGGCGCCATGTTAATTACGGGAAGGAGCAGCCATTTTCCCGCTCCTCATCCTTTCGGTACCTGTGTTTGCTTGGGCCCCCGGTTGGGTACTTTGTGGGAGGAAAGGCATTTCTACCTGGTTGTGATGTGTTGGTGCGTAACTTCCCGCTCGGGGCAAGCGAGGGCGCCGGGAGTGCAGGCGCGGACGTGAGCGGTCCTTAGGACCCAGCGCGTCCTTTTGTTCCCGGCGGTCGCGGGTCCGACCGGGAAGGGGAGTGGGCGGGGCCAGCGGCGTCCTC